ACCTGGCGCTATTTAGAAAAAACATTTCATTAACTTGTGAAGCATGTTTGGACAAAATACGCACTTATATCAATACAATCAGATTCAGCTCAAATAAATGAAAAATGTAAAAGCTATTATTTGTAGTTAGCTTGAGAAATGATATCTTTCCAAAAATTAAAAAATATATAGAGAGAGACTTAAAAAAATCTATTTTAAATTATAAAAATTAAAAGATAAAATAAGTGAAATTATAAGAATTAAAAAAATATTTTTATTATTTGAAACTCTAATTATATTTTTATTTGTATAATTTTATGTGCTCATAATTAGGAAAATTATATGGTAAATTAATGAAAACAATTATTATTTACATGACTTTGATTATCAGAAAAGTCAATAAATTTATTATATTTATTATAGCTTGCGATTAAATGATAAAGTAAAAATACATCTTAATATTATTAGTGAATATATTATTTATTTTAAAGTATTTATAAATTAATTACTTTGATCAATAAATGTTAGTAATTATGAGTTATGTCAAGGGAAAGATTAAAATCCACTCTCTCCTTGTAATTTTAACTTTAAGTCTCTTTTCCTACATCATCTAATCTACCTTATAACTTCTTATTTATAAACTAATTTAATTATTACTTTATCCAATATTTTTAAATTTACTAATTAAATTATCTTCTAATTCTACTGAAGACTTGCTTTTGGATTTAATAATAATTAAGATATTTCGTGACACTATCCAATCAGTGAACATTGATTAGGCCAAAATGGATCTCCATTCTATTTACTTTATGTGTGTTTTCTCACACTTTCTGCCTCACATTTTTATTTGAAAAATCATAAAGATACTTTATACATACGCAATAATCGCAATCAATCGCGGGGCTCAAACCCGCCAATCATATTAAAAACAGATTCAGATTCACGCATACTATGATGCATTTTTTTTCCTTATGTATACTTTTTAGTTTTTTAATTTATATTTAGGACACATTACAAACTATTAATTAGACTAAAGCAACCTCATGGAAATTCATCTGCAAGTTTAGTGGTACCTTCAAGGTTGTTTTTGTAATTTGGACAGAAATTTTCAACAAAAAAAAAAAAAGAATTTTAGAGGATGTATTGAATTAGGGATGTTGTATTTTAAAAGATTTTTTTATTATAAAAAATATTGTGGTATTTGATTAAAAAAATTAATATAAAAAAGTCATGAATTATTTAATTAAGATAATAAAAAAAATTAAGAATACATCAAAATTTAATAATATTCAATTAAGACAATAATGATTTTTTAGAAGTACATTAAAATTTAATAGTGTTTAACTAAGATTTTTTTTTTCATTTGAAAAAAGTTTATTGTTATTAAAAAAATATAAATATTTCAATGGATTGTTTTAAATAATAGATTTTGTTAGACTACTTAATAGAATTTATATATAATTCACTAATCTAATAATTTCATCAAAATTGTATGATTTTTTTTCTCTTATATTTCTCCTCTTTCTTTATTTTTTTTCCTCTCTCCTAAAGCCTTTTTTTCTTCTCTCATCTTCTCTTTTGTCTCACTTTCTCTCTTTTCTTTCTTTCTCTATTATTTTCTCTTTCTTTTTCTATTCATCTTTCACTTGTTTATTTCTTGTTCTTCTTTTTTTTTTCTATTCTTTCTCCCATATTTTTTTATCTATAAAAAATTGATATATAATTTATCAATATTTTATTTTTTTAATTATTAAATATTTAAAATAATTTTTGAATCATTAAATATTATCTATTGTTATTTTAAAAAAATTATTAAAATTCAACTATTTATTTTTAATAAAATTTACATGTAATTTAATAGGGGAAAAAATCGTCAAACCAAATAGACTCAACACCTTCCTAGCCTAATTTTTATTGGTCTAGCCTGACCTGATTAATACGTTAAATCAAGACAAATTGACCTTGTAATGTCTAATTATATACATATTAATTATTCCCAATATTATACGCATATATATATATATATATATATATATATATATTTATAGATTGAAAACATAAGTATTTTATTAATAATATTATATGTGATAACAAAGAAAGATTTAAGGTGAAATAACCTTTAATTATTTGTTATTATAATTCTCATTTATCATGACTAGTCACTACAAATATAATTCAAATTTTTATATCAAGAAAAATTAATATATATTTATTAGTATTAAATATTTTTATGCATATTATGCAATTGTTGATATTTATTGGATAATTATTCTCACTCCTTGTGTTTCTTGTGTAAAATATGTAATTAATTTTAAAAATAAATAAATATAGATGGATTTTCTAGTGATTCTGGCTCCTTTTCCTTCAGTGATATCCGCGGTATTCTCTGGCACTACGTGGAGTGTAGATGCTTTAGCAAACTCGGTCACCTTTAACGGAGTGGCAGTGTCATCTTTCACATTCTCTCCAAATCAAGAAGTTTCTACTGTGATCGATGGTCCTATAGTCGTTATTTTGTATTTACCTCCCACAAACCACGTTAACCCTATTGTAAATTTGTACCAGCCTAATCTGTAAATATTGTAATATATATATGTAAAAAGTAAGTAGTTACGCACGTAGTAGTAAATATTTCCAATTTAATATGTAATGGAATTGTAAGCTAATCATATATAAAAGAGTTTGAAAAAAAAATTGTCTCCACTACTTAGTGTCACTACCATTATGTGTGGAGCCCTTTATTTTTTAAATTCACTTGATTGGACACAAATGATGAAATTATATGAACGGGTTATAAAATATCACATTATCATTGTTTTACCATTCTTTTTATTATAATTTTAGTCTTTCTATTTTTGTTAATCTACAATTATGATCTTTCTATTTGAAAGTAGAGACATATAGTCTCCATTTTTAAAATAAGAAATATTGGTACTCCCATCAAATTAACATCTATTAATCATTAAGTTTTAATATTTATTCATATTTAATTAATGTGACATTTAGTAATATAATATTTAGAGATAAAAACATATATAAAAAATACAAATAAGATTTATAATAAAATAAAAAATAATTACTCATTAAAATATATGCAAACAAAGTTTTTAGTATGTAACTTTTAAATTTTTATCTTTATATATTATATCATTAAATATCACATCACTTAAGTGATAATAAATCATTGAACAGCCTCAAAATTTAACTATCAACAAACATCAAATTAATAGTATAATTAAAATTTCGTATTTTTATAAATAGAGAATTAAATTTCTCTATTCTAAAATAAAAAGACAAGAATTGCATATTAACAAAAATGAAAAAATTAAAACTACAATTTAACTTTTTTTTTCTAGTACTTATACATATATTTTCTTTCCTCCTATTTTCTAAACAATCAAACAAGACAAGATAAATTTGTTACCTTTTTTTTCTTTATTTTCTCTTCCACCAAATTACTTAAAAGTAATATAATTTTCTACTCATTTTTGTTTCTTTCACTTCTTCCCTTCTATTTTCTTTCTTAAATCAAACAAGC